TGCCCAGCACCTGGGAGGAACTGGGGGTGCCTAAAGAGGAGCTAACAGCCGAAGAGCCGCAGTTTTTTGAACTGCTGTCAATTATGTGGAGAACGGACCCGGGAAATGGCCCTGCTCGTTGCCTCCTCCCGATGGAGAAAGACTTTTGGATTTGAGACCGTGTCGAGACTTTTCTCTGCAACCCCCCAGTGTGTGACTGCTAAGCCTGCTAGCCCCGAGCTCCGGCCTGCTAGCACTCCTGCGGCTAGCCCCCTGCCTGAAGCATCCACCTGTCCTGCTCGGCTAGCACTGCCAGTCGCCAGTCTGATCCCCGGCCTGCTAGCTGCAGGGTGGGAGGCATCTTCCTCTCCCGGCCTGCTAGCACCCAGCCTGCTAGCACCCAGCCTGCTAGCGCTGCTAGCCGCCCGCCTGGTCATCTTCCTCCTGTGTTGGCTCCAGCATCCAGAATGGTTGGGGTCTCCTGGACATCTAGCTCTCTGGTCTCCTTTTTGATGGACTTGGCATTAGAGCCAGAGAGCCTAAGGACTGCTAGTCCCCAACCGGTCAGCCAACCAGCTAGCTGTCAGCCGGCTAACCCCCAACCTACTCCGCTTGATTACCGGCCAGCTAGTGCTGCTAGCTTTCTGCCTGCCCACCTGCCTGATCTCCGGCCTGCTAGCGCTGCTAGCCACCAGCCTGATCACCAGCTGACTTCTGTTCCCTCGTCGGTGGTCCGACCAACACCAGCTCCGTCGGTGGCCCAGCCGACTCCTGTTCCCTCATCGGTTCCACACTCTGCCTGTCTGCCATGCCGTGGTTTGCCCTTTTGTGTTTAGTTAGAGTTATTTTGGTCTGTTGGGTTTTGGGGTCTGTCTTGTCTGTCGTCTAGTGTTTGGTAACCCTTGTCATGTCTGTTAACCCAGTGATCCCTCTGCATGTCTGTCTCTGTTTTCCCCTGCTCTCTCTCTCCCTGCCTGTGCCTCATTAGCCTCATGTCTTTCACCTGTGTTGCTCCCGTCTGCTCGTTAGTCCCTGTGTGTATATATACCTGGTGTTTCTGTCTTGTCCTTGTCGGGTCATTGTTTATTGTCACCCAGTGTTACAGTGTGTTACCTTGTGTTGGCTTGTTGCCAGCCTACTCGTCGTGTCTCCCTGTTTCCCTGCTTATTTTGGATTTGGGATTCTGGCTTTCTCGTTTGGATTACTTTGTTTTGGACTCTGTTTGATCAGCCACTCTTCCTGTAAGTGCGCTCGCCTTTTGTTGCTTACGTGTCCTGCGTTTGGGTCCTCCAACCTGCCTCCACAACACTAACCGTGACAATTAATCTGTTTCACAACAGGTGATGTGATTGTCCAGCAATTTGGAAATTTCTTGTCTCTGGAGGCAAAAGATGAATCATTCTCCTCCTTCCAACCCATGCGTACAAGACTGGACGTTTTCTTGCATAGGCTCCTCCATCAATCCTACCCTGAACTCTGGACTTTCTGCTCCTCTCCCATGGCCAAGCAACGGTTGAGAGGGGCTTTTCTGTAAACGAGGAAATAGAGGCTAATAACATGAAGGAGGACACAGTGGTTGCTCAGAGGATGATATGTGACTACGTCTCTGTCTGTGGGGGGATTCTCAAAGTACCTCTGACAAAGGAGCTTTTGGCAGCTGCAGCTTCAGCGAGGTCTCATTATCGGCTACACCTGGAACAGGAAAGAGAAAGCATGCGAGCAATGTACAAAGAGAAAAGTTGCAGAAGACCACCTTGAGCAGCTCAAAAAGAAGAAGATGATACTGATTGAAGTAGCAAACAGCCTAGAAAAAGACGCAGACAAACTGGCAGAGCAAGCTGAGGGTAAATCAGGGACACTCTTGGCCCAGCTAATCACCAAGTCAAACATACTCAGAAAAAGATACAAAGAAAAAATCACAGAACTCAAAGAGGTTGAGAAAGAGCTGGAAGATAAATCAGCAGAACTCAGGCATATGCCATAATGTCTCATTTATACAGACTGCCAAGCACAGTGAATGTGTGATGAACAGCACCAACCGTGGACTGACGGGTGAAATAATTCTAATCCTAATCATCTCTTACATTGTCATAATCGCTGTCGAAAAGCTCTTGTACAAGCGGCGCTACATTTTGTATCATACATATCAATAGGAAAGTTTTCTCTCATTCATTTTAACTTAACACAGCTATTTAGGGGAGGTGCCTGGGTAGCTCACCTGGTAGAGCACACGCCCATATACAGAGGCTAGTCTAAGTCTAAGCTGTCCTGTCAATTAAAAATGCCTAAAAATGCCCCAAAAAAGTATCTTCAAAAAAAAACAACGCTGCTTATTGGGATAAATGTGTGTGCATGTGTGATTTAGAGAAGCACTCCATAACAGTGTTGGGCAGTAACGCATTACTTAGTAATATGTTACTGTAATTGTATTACTTTTCACAGTAACGAGTAGTGTAACAATTTCCGAAAACAGTAATTATATTACAGTTTCTAATCTAAGTAACGCTGCATTACTGCATTCCCCGAATGTGATTTTGTTTTTTGTCCAAGGTAGGCTTTCTTATATGCATGTCTTTGTTTCAAGTATTCATATTGTGCACATGCACATTGTTATAAATTGGTAAGTACACTCTTTTGGGAAGGCTTTCTCAAGTGCCAAAGTGTTTTGTTTATTATTATATAAAAAGGATTGTTTTCCAAGTATATTCATAAAAGCTAAAAGGAGTAGATATGAAATTGTGCACAAAAATTATTTGTCACGTAGACATCACACACACACACACACCTCCTACACACTGCTGTCTATTATTTATTTTGTTTAGTATTTGTTCATTGGACCAAAATGTTCAGAAAATATTGTAATAATAAATATAATTTAGGACAGCAGAGACATTTTTGTGTTATCCTTTCGCATTACACACATTTAGTCAATGTTCTTAAATTCAATTGATTATTGTCATTTTACCATACTGTTCATTTTGAACAGACAGTGTGTTTACTTGGAAAGATTACTGTATATTTCCACTGGATTTGTATTTCCATCGTAAGTGTGGTCTTAAATTTCATTTAGAAGTGGTACTAAAAAGTCTTAAAAAGTCTTAAATTTAACTTGTTTATACCTGTAGCCACCCTGGTATATAAGAAATGGACATACTCATCATGACGTTATGTGTTGGTTTGTGGACTGTGGTTTTGAAGCCTCAAGTTTGGCCGATAGGGCGCCACCATGTTGAGTTTTTGCAACCAGCGGCACCGGACATGACCATACTTGGAGACAGTTGAGCTAACGGCCGTGTGTGGAGCTAGCTAGCCTGCTTAGCAAGGTGCATCTGTAATTCACGTTAACTGTCATTTTAACACGGTTGATAGTTTTTTTGTAGCGAACATTCACAACACTCATAATCTTTTTCAACGGCACTGCTTAAATTTACACAGTGCCGTGGGTACGAGTCACTCTAACCTGATTGACAGGTCGCCATGGTAACAACTTGTCAGTCATAGATAATTTCATCCTGAATCCTGATATGCTAATCCTGCATACTCTGCTTTATGGTCTATTTTAAAATAAATGGGACCAAAGAGACAGGAGCATCTAAAGCTTGTTTCAGACAGAGGCTGAAATGAAGAGCCAGTATAAGATAGAACTTTTTTTTTTACTTTGAATCATGCAATGGAAACAGTTAGTGAGCCGGACTGAATATTATAATGAGATTGTTACTGCACTTTATAGAAATTAGACCGCAGTAAGTAACATTACTGTAACGTTAATTGATGCGTTGTTGCCCTGCAGTTAAAGTTAAAGGTACTTTATTTGTCACATACATGTAGCGAAATCAATTCTCTGCATTTAACCCATCCCTGATGGAGCAGTGGGCAGCCACCCCAGGAACCAACTTCAGATTAAATGCAGTGTCTGGTCAAACGGCATTGACTAAAGAACAAAGCTAATATGTTTTTGATGGTATGGGAAAGCGTACCACAGTGCTAGGACAGCGTGCTGCCCTTATGCTGCATTATTGTGGGTCCCTTTAGTTACAGCGACTGAGAGGTGGAGAAGCTGTGCCCCTTTATGTATGAACGGTGCTATACAAATAAAGATTATTATTATTGTTATTATTAATAATAATAATTAAATTAATTGATTTAATTTTTACTAAATGACCTGGTTCTTGGTGGGGACTTAATAGCAAAGTGAAACAACAGCATAAAAACACAAAATGAAAGTAAAATAAAATAACAACAAACCTCTAAAGTGTACTGAAATCAAACAAATCTTCAAAGATCTGTTAGAATCAGGTGAAAAACATCATAAAAAATAAAACAGGCTGCATATTTAGTGTTTTTAATCATTTATTCGTTAATGACAAATACTTTAAATTCAACATTTAAAAAATGTCTTTATCTGCGGTTGATTTATTTAATAAATAAACCTTGTTATTGTTATTACATATATATGATATATTATGTTTACTATACACTCACCGGCCACTTTATTAGGTACACCTGTTCCATGCTTATTAACACAATATCTAATCAACCAATCACATATCAGCAACTCAGTGCATTTAGGCATGTAAAGACAACTTGCTGATGTTTAAACCGAGCATCAGAAAGGGGATTTAAGTAACTTTGAACGTGGAATTGTTGTTGGTGCCTCGTCTGAGTATTTTTAGAAACTGCTGATCTACTGGGATTTTCACACACAACCATCTCTAGGGTTTACATCTCTGAACGCACGTTGAGCCCTGAAGCCGATGGGCTACAGCAGCAGAAGACCACACCGGGTGCCACTCCTGTCAGCTAAGAACAGGAAACTGAAGCTATAATTCACACAGGCTCACCAAAACTGGACAATGGGAGACTGGAAAAACATTGCCTGGTCTAATGAGTTTCGATTTCAGCTGTGACATTCAGATGGGTCAGAATTTGACATAAACAACATGAAAGCATGGATCCATCCTGCCTTGTATCAACTGATCTGGCCGCTGGTGGTGGTGTAATGGTGTAGGGGATATTTTCTTGTCCCTCTTTGGACCCCTTAGTACCAACTGAGCATCGTTTAAACACGACAGTATTGTTGCTGACCATGTCCGTCCCTTTATGACCACAGTGTACCATCTTCTGATGGCTGCTTCCAGCAGGATAATGACCATGTCACATAGCTCAAATCATTTCAAACTAGTTTCAGAACATGATAATGAGTTCACTGGAGATTCACATCGTGGATGTGCAGCCGACAAATCTGCAGCAACTGCGTGATGCTATCATGTCAACATGGACCAAAGTCTTCCAACACCTTGTTGAAAGTATGCCACGAAGAATTAAGGCACTTCTGAAGGCAAAAGAGGGTCCAGCCCGGTACTAGCAAGGTGTACCTAATAAAGTGGCTGGTGAGTAGAAATGGCATAGGTTTGATGAAGAGATTTACATAAATATATAAAAAACAAAACTGCTGAAAAAACAGCTTCACGTGTTTCCTCATTGTTTCTAAAATCACCTGGAATGATGGGAAGTAGTTGTCGTAGTTGTCGCAGTCAAACTCTGCTTCTGTTGGTTGAACTAGAACTGAGTCCTCTGCAGGACAAGTGGACAGTGTGTATTCCTGCTTTGGCTGCAGTTTACAGTGTGGGGACGTCTCTATGTAGCTCTCATCTCCAACTAATTTCTTCCTGGTGCGCAGCACATCCCGGAGCACCACGTTCCTCGGTAGCAGCAACACGTTGAGGAGGGATTCAGCGTCGGGATCAGCCGGGGGCCTGTAGAACAGCAGAACCAGCGCTCGGACCGGCTCAGCCGGCGAGTCTTCATCCTTGACATTACCGAAACCAGAAAACCCTGTGATGTTTATAACAACGTGAGTTTCTGTGATCTTCTGAGGGCCGATAAACTCGATGCCCTCGTCGTTCACATGAGCGACTGACAAGAACTCACCTCCACCTGTGGAGCGGATCTCACAGTGTGGGAGATGAAGCCGACACACAGACTGCTGCAGACATTTGATGTCAAACAGGGGTCCTGCAGGCTGCTTGTGGTGTCGGGCCAGTAGCCTCCTGTTCCAGGGGACAATCCTGTAAACCAGTTTCTCTTCTCTGCACTGCATTGCGCATGCATGTGCGCCTAACAGTCATGCATGAGGTGTGCCAAAGAAACCAAAACATTTAGGACATGCCCTTTCTTGTTCACCTAATGTATTGTATTACACCATAATAAGGGAGAGCATGTTGTGGTCTGGGAGTGGCTTTAATGCCCTATTATAGTTATAGCAGGATAGTTTTGGCCAAGTAGCAATCAGACAGAGAGCGAGGAACGGCTGACTGTTTGGGGTGTATCTGGACTGCTACAATGGACGGAGATTTATTTATTTTTGCTGAGTTACATCTAAATTTTTGCGGTGATCCTGTCATAATCATGGCTTTGGAGAATGCAGGTAATCAATCAGTAGTAACAACTCCAAAATGCCATATAATCATAGATCCTACTGCATTGGGTATGGCTCCTAGAAAGATGACTGCCCCTACAACCTTGGCTGATTTTCTGTATCATTAGGCCTCAGTTTAAATGGGCTGTGGAAGATTTTATGATGCCTGGATACTTATTTGAGCAGAGAACATCTTTATACACGAAAGCTTGATGAGTTGTTTCTTGCGACACACCGCGCATTCTTTTTTTCGGCCGAAGCGTGGTGTGACTTCAGAAAGTCAGTAGTCTGTAAAGAATTGAGTGATTCAAAATAGATATACAACACACAGTGGTGCGGGTCTGTGCCTGAAGAACTCTACCGTGTAGAAACTGACCTCAAAGTCTACGACCCAGAATCCTTCTTAGATTGTGCTACGACAACTCTGTCATTCAAAACGCAGGGAGGGGGCCCCGGAGCAGCATAAAGGCTACCCCATCATGTCTAAAGAATGGGAGACCTAATTCAGCACCGGTTTTGTGGTCCAGTGGGGAGAACGAGATAGAACCCTTGAAGTCTTCTTACGTATTGATAAATTATTCCGATGGTATAAGCCTCATATTAACTATGTAGTGACAAAAGGAAACTTTTTGGCCCAAAGGATAACTAAGATTAACAACAAATATGGCCTGTGTGGAGAGCCTGCCAAAGAAGTTACTGAACCCCTTACCAATGGCAACTCCCCTGCCCCCCATGCCGGGGCTGGCGGTGTGATTGTTCTAACTACCAGTACTTGTTTGTACAGGTACGAGGACATGTGCAGGTGGTGAGCAACTGAACCATGACAGGCCTAACATAACTCCAGGATGACAACATAGATAACTCCTGGCTGGATGACTTCATTAGAGAGCTGGGGGAAAGAGATTTAACATTTCTCTCTCCTGAAGAAAAAGAGGACAAAGAGCAGGGGCACACCTGTTTGGACACGCTGGACTGTTTCAATTACCACACATCATCTGACTCTACTGTTTGCTGTATTATAGAGGTAACAATATCTTAATATTTTCACAATATTATTCAGCAAAAAGCTAAAAAAAAAAAAAGTGTATATTGCAATATTACAATCTCACTCACTGACACACTACCCTTCTTTTATATTAAAGGGTATATGGGAGAAATTAAGCAAGAGCTTTTTAATAAAAATTTTGCAAGCATGCAAAAACTTAAAAATTCAGCTTTAATAAAAGTATTTTTTCCCAACAAGTCCTGTTACGTTGTGAGTCAAGCACTGTCTTGGTTCATAGCAGCTGTTGAAGTGGTTCAACCTCGGTTGTATACTTTTGCAGGAACTTGCTGAACCAGGAAGTTAAGCCCAGGAGGTAGTGCTGCCATGTCTTTGAGGCAGGAGTTTCAGCGAAGGCAGTAAGGTGATCTGGGCAGGCCCTCCTTCAATATGACATGCCCCAGAAATGGAATATTTGTTTGACCAAATGAGCTTTTGTCAAAGTATAAATTTGCCTGGAGTCACTGTCAATGCAGAAAATTAAAGATTGTAATCTGGATATAAAGGTTATTAAGTTTAGGCCACAGTGTATTTCTTCTGTAAATGTGTTCCAGCTCTGTGGAGCTAAATGCTGCCGTAATGTTGCTTAAAATTCTTAAGAACAGTAATAAGATAGATGTTCATAAATAAAATGGACAGCGGGATAAAGAGAGTCAAAGACCATTTTATCGAGTGAACAAAACAATGTTTGCATGTGAACGAGTGAAAGGTAAGTGAGATGAAATTTCACTGAGTCAGAAACACAGGATGATCTGGACTAACCAGGATGTTGGCAGCATGATGGCGTTCCTTAACATAAAAAAATGTTTTCAGTTTTCAGTTCAAGGAACTTTCTGCACCTGCTCTCTTTTCCTTCCTCATTCCAGTATTTTTTTACTGGAATGAGGAGATGATGAAAGAAAACTCACAGGTCACATGTTTTTCAACATTACTACAGTTTCTGTCATACCTGCTCACACATATTATGTTACATTATATTGTTATTAGTTAGAAATACAGTGACATACATAAATACAGTTTGGTCAAAAGTCATTTTACTAAAGACAGTAATGTCAATCCAATTTCAAGTCACTGTGTGTTAGTATAGCTTTAGTGGAATACCTTACAAAGTCTGCATATTATTTCTGTTTTTCAATGAAAACATAACAATTCAAATCATTTTGGATTACTATTATTATTTTTACCATGTTTGTGTGCAAAAAGTTGGAAAAGTTTGAGCACGTAAACAGCCAAAAGGCTTAAAGACGAAACTTGCTGAAGAAGTCTAGAAGACTAACACCATTACATCTAGGGAAAGTCATTTAGTTAGTTTTGAAGCTGTCTACAACTTATTTTACATTAATGGCACAGCACCCAACCTTTTTGGGCCTCCCCACCTAAACCTTTGAATGGTATCAAAACCCTGTTAAGATGAGCTCAGAAGCGTTATAGATAGGTTTGCCTTTTGTGTCTTCATTTACATCTTTTGATATTTATCTGTAGAAGTTTGTAAGAACCAGCATCTGTATTGACTACTTCTGTTTAATTATCAAACATTTAATTTGTACATTATAATCTCCATTATCTTGATGGGAAAGTTTGGGATTTTTAAAGTGGAGCTAAATGAGGTGCTTATTGATAGTCAGTGTCGTAGCTGCAGTAGATGGCAGTCAGCGTGCCCACAGTTTGGAGAAGCAGAGAGTTGCACCGGCACAGGAGCTAACTAATGTACTGCTGTGGACAGGGTCTGCTGCAAAATGTATTTTAGCCTCCTGATAGAAGGCCGACCAGAAAAAATCGATATCAGTTCAAAGTTACGCTATATGTAGAGTATTATCAGCTCTTTGCATCAGACAGTATTTTCCTTTGGAACTTTATGTTCTCAACAGTAGAACGTCTGTATTCCTACGCATAAATAGCATCAAGTCCAATTAAAGGAACTACTTAAGTAGATATAGAAGCTAAAGAGAAAAATACTTTTGTCTGGTGGAGAGGAGGTGGACAATGTAAGTGCTAAAGCTGAGTCTTAGTCAATGAGACCATTAAAGTTTGTAATCTGGATATAAAGGTTATTAAATTTAGGCCACAGTGTATTTCTTCTGTAAATGTGTTCTGTGGAGCTAAATGCTGCCGTAATGTTGCTTATAATTCTTAAGAACAGTAATAAGATAGATGTTCATAAATAAAATGGACAGCGGGATAAAGAGAGTCAAAGACCATTTTATCGAGTGAACAAAACAATGTTTGCATGTGAACAAAAAGTGAAAGGTAAGTGAGATGGAATTTCACTGAGTCAGAAACACAGGATGATCTGGACTAACCAGGATGTTGGCAGCATGATGGCGTTCCTTAAGATAAAAAAATGTTTTCACAGTTTTCAGTCTAAGGAACTTTCTGCACCTGCTCTCTTTTCCTTCCTGATTCCAGTAAAAAAAGCTTTTGGTATTTTCCAAGAGGAGATGATGAAAGAAAACTCACAGGTCACATGTTTTTCAACATTACTACAGTTTCTGTCATACCTGCTCACACATATTATGTTACATTATATTGTTATTAGTTAGAAATACAGGTGCTGGTCATATAATTATAATTACATCAACAACTTGATTTATTTCAGTAATTCCATTCAAAAAGTGAAACTTGGATATTATATTCATTCATTACACACAGACTGATATATTTCAAATGTTTATTTCATTTAATTGTGATGATTAAAACTGACAACTAATGAAAATCCCAAATTCAGTATCTCTGAAAATTAGAATATTACTTAAGACCAATAAAAAAAAGGATTTTTAGAAATGTTGGCCAACTGAAAAGTATGAACATGTAAAGTATAAGCATGTACAGCTCCAGTACTTAGTTGGGGCTCCTTTTGCCTGAATTACTGCAGCAATGCGGCGTGGCATGGAGTCCATCAGTCTGTGGCACTGCTCAGGTGTTATGAGAGCCCAGGTTGCTCTGATAGTGGCCTTCAGCTCTTCTGCATTGTTGGGTCTGGCGTATCGCATCTTCCTCTTCACAATACCCCATAGATTTTCTATAGGGTTAAGGTCAGGCGAGTTTGCTGGCCAATTAAGAACAGGGATACCATGGTCCTTAAACCAGGTACTGGTAGCTTTGGCACTTTGTGCAGGTGCCAAGTCCTGTTCGAAAATTAAATCTGCATCTCCATAAAGTTGGTCAGCAGCAGGAAGCATGAAGTGCTCTAAAACTTCCTGGTAGACGCTGCGTTGACCTTGGACCTCAGAAAACACAATGGACCAACAGCAGCAGATGACATGGCACCCAAACCATCACTGACTGTGGAAACTTTACACTGGACTTCAAGCAACGTGGATTCTGTGCCTCTCCTCTCTTCCTCCAGACTCTGGGACCTTGATTTCCAAAGGAAATGCAAAATTTACTTTCATCAGAGAACATAACTTTGGACCACTCAGCAGCAGTCCAGTCCTTTTTGTCTTTAGCCCAGACGAGACGCTTCTGACGCTGTGTCTTGTTCAAGAGTGGCTTGACACAAGGAATGCGACAGCTGAAACCCATGTCTTGCATACGTCTGTGCGTGGTGCTTCTTGAAGCACTGACTCCAGCTGCAGTCCACTCTTTGTGAATCTCCCCCACATTTTTGAATGGGTTTTGTTTCACAATCCTCTCCAGGGTGCGGTTATCCCTATTGCTTGTACACTTTTTTCTACCACATCTTTCCTTCCCTTCGCCTCTCTATTAATGTGCTTGGACACATGAGCTCTGTGAACAGCCAGCCTCTTTAGCAATGACCTTTTGTGGCTTGCCCTCCTTGTGCAAGGTGTCAATGGTCGTCTTTTGGACAGCTGTCAAGTCAGCAGTCTTCCCCATGATTGTGTAGCCTACAGAACTAGACTGAGAGACCATTTAAAGGCCTTTGCAGGTGTTTTGAGTTAATTAGCTGATTAGAGTGTGGCACCATGTGTCTTCAATATTGAACCTTTTCACAATATTCTACTTTTCTGATATACTGATTTGGGGGGTTTTCATTGGTTGTCAGTTATAATCATCAAAATTAAAAGGAATGAACACTTGAAATATATCAGTCTGTGTGGAATGAATGTATACATTATACAAGTTTCACTTTTTGAATGGAATTACTGAAATAAATCAACTTTTTGATGATATTCTAATTATATGACCAGCACCTGTACACTTGTAGTCACAGGTAAAGTTTGATCAAAAGTCATTTTACTAAAGACAGTAATGTCAATCCAATATCCAGTCACCATGTGTTAGAATAGCTTTAGAGGAATACCTTACAAAGTCTGCGTTTTATTTCATTGTGGGCCCTCCCATCAGAATCAAAGTAGCCTAATGTCATTATCAAATTAAAGGAATGAAAGCTTGCAGCTTTTAAACAGCCAGCCACAGCGAAATGCAATGCACAGTCGACACCTAAACCTAATAAAACCAGACAGCATTCTATAAAGAAGATGAGTCATAATAGCAAGACTAAGACAGCGATAGACTAGCCTACATGACCAAATCGGTGTTTGAGCACTTTAAGAAATTAAAACATAGCCTAACCGGTGATCAAAAACATGTTAGGTTCTCCAGTCAGTGTCACTGAGCAGTGACATTGTCACAGATCTGGAGTTGGGCACCCGGCGCTGTACAGTGGCTGCCCACTGCTCTCTTGACAGACGGGTTAAATGCAGAGAATGAATTTCACTACATGTGAAAACATGATCCTAATTGAGAGTGCACAATGACACACACATGAAAAAAAGATGATGATTAATGACTGTGCACCACATTGACATCAAGAAATGTTTCATGTCTGCTCATTATGAACACAAAACACAAGTGAGTGGATTGATTACTAGTTGCATGAAGCATAGTGCTTTAGTGTTTGGTCTAAAAAATAATAAGTAAGGTACATTATAGGCACACTCTCCTGAGCTTTTTGCTGTGCAAATTCGTTTATTAAACCATTCAAATCCAGCTGGCGGGCAGGGCCTTCTCTATTGACAGTGTGGCAAGTCCAGATTAACGGGTCTGTGCCAGTAAGATTGATTGTTTTAGTTTAATTGTTCTGGAGAGGCCACGCGTACCGTTACCTCAATTCCGTTTTCACAGCCACAGGTGCGTGGATCAAATACAATGGTTTTGAATGACACCTGCACTGGTGCATTCACTGTCGCTCCTTAATGTAAAAGTTCCACTGTGCCCACATCTTGTAAAGTAACACCAGATAATTTCTCTCTCTGTGTTTCTTTGCAAAATGCTAAAATGGTTCACCAAATATACTTTGGCAGCTGTTAATATACCTGGGCAAGTAAAGTAAATTTGGAAAACACTGGATTTAGTGCAAGTTATTGCAAGCTGTAGACCCATATTGTAAATATTACACTATGAACCTATTTTATTGTTTTCCAGCTATGTGACTATTCTGGTGCAGTCATGATTGATTGATTACACCTGCAAGTTAGACTAATTTAATGAAGTCAAGATGGAAATAATAATAATAATAATAATATAGTAATAACCTCCCTCTTCCCCCCCAAAAAAGATGAAAGAAAAAAGTTTTGAACCGAACCGTAGCTCCATAATTAAAGGTCTGGACCGAACCGTAGATTTGGTGAACACTCCTCATTACTACACATAAGTAGCATTGCCATTTGATGTGGTGGCAAAGTTCCATGCTTTGCCATAAAACCGGAAATTGTTGTAAATTGTAAATCATTGTGGTCATAACTTCACTGTACAAATCTGTACCAAAGATTACATGCGTGATAACGGTCTCGCCCTGAACACATCTACATGCCAATATTCAGTTCTAGTCATAGAGTCACCTACAGGTAACAGGAACTATGAGTGGAAAACAGCATTCAACACCTCACTTGGTCATTACGAATAGTTGGTCATGCCTTTTGGCCTGACAAATTATCCTGTTTTTTTCCAGAACCTAGTGAATGATGATCTCAGGGATTTGTCTTTGTATATTTTGATAACATTTTGATCTTCTCCCACGTCCACCAGGTTCTTCAGCGGCTGCTTGAGAACAGACTTTTTGTGAAAGCAGAGAAGTGTGAATTCCATTCCAAATCTTCCCAAAGTGTGAGTTCCCTTCCTTGCTGTTCATGTCAGCTATAGGGTGCTTCTCAATTCTCTTAATTGCATCCACATTTCCCTGACTTGCGTCTTTTCCTCGCGTCCTAGTCCAGCCCAAAGGGGATGCATGCGAGACGCAAGGAAACCATGCAGGGAGAGAAGAAATTAGGAAATGTGTTTTTAGATAATAGAATCATTTCCTCTGAAGCATCACGTGAAGGGACGTCTGTTGTCTGATCAGCTGATTGCAACTGTCAGTCGGCTTTAACAGCAGGAGAGACTTTCGATGGAGTTTTTATATTTATATTATTTATTTATTATCTGCATCTGTATTTATTGATATTATGATTGTGTAGCCTATTAATTAGGCCTATTTAATAACCCAGAATATGATCTTGGTTTCATTTGATTTATTAGGCTTACTGTTTCAGTGGAAACTGAAATCATCTAAGCTGACTTAAACATAGTTTATGCTCTCTATTTATTTAAGCTTCTGATATCCTTTAACACTGCATTCATTTTATTTTGCAAGTCAAATTACTCGTCACCAATTTAGCCTTTAATTGACTGCATAATAAAAGTTAAGTGGAGAAATAACAGAATAAAGTAGTGTGTGGTCCTTTTGTGAACAATGAACACAGATTTTAACTAGACAGGAAATCATAAAACTAAGTTTTTTGTGTTTGTGCCTTGACTCAGATCTCTGTATCTCTGTGTGTAGACGCTGCCGGCCAGTCCTGTGCTGCATTTTGGAGCTCAGATTCATCTGTCTGCCCGCTCTCCGCCTCAGCTCACCAAATTTACCTTTCTGCACTTTTCTTCAATAAATCATTGAACTTATCCCCTGCTGGTGTCTCTTCGCTCTTTGATATTTTGTGGTTGAACATCACAGTGATGTAGTCAAAAGATAATTTTAGTTAGTTACTGCAATACGTAGGCCTATATACAATAAATCTCATATATCATATATAAACGTATTCACACTTCAATGCACTGCTGGTATATTAGAGAGGTAAAGATGACCTAACATTAAGCCTAGTTCACACTACACGATTTTTAGCCCAATTTGCCGCTCGGCGACCGTCAGGCTGTGATCAGGTGTAAATCAGCGGTTAAAAAAGTAACTAGGTAACATTTACTCTTAGTAAATTTTAAATTACCTACTTTTTACTTTTACTTAAGTAGATTTTAATACTGGTAATTTTACTTGTACTCAAAGTCCATCAAAAAAATCAATAAAGTATTTAATTTATATACAGTTAAGGCACTAAACTTGTTAGCAAAAGATAGCTATTTTGAATTACAACTTTTCGCTTTTCATGCAGTTCGGCTGTTCTCTTGCACTCATTTTTCCATGTGTATGTGTCACAGATGCATGTGTCCAGAGTGCACAGAGATTACTGGAAGTGCACATGCATGCACACAGCGAACTCCTGCTAGGTCCTTTTTGGTTTCTCAAGTTAGAAATGAATGGTCCACCTCGTCAGTTAGCTG